GCTCAAATCTTACTTCAGCACTTTACCTTACTTAAAACTCTTCAGTGATTTGTCATAATTTTCATTAAAGCCCAAACTCCCTCACGTGGTATATAAAGCCCTTTATGATGTGATCTCTCCTTACCTTCTCAGTGCATCTTCCATTATCCTCCTCTCCTAACCCCTTACTTTGTACTCCACCCATTCTAAAATCACTCGAGAATGGGTCATGTGCTCTTTTTCCTCTAGATACCTACTCAGATACGGTGTTTCTACCGGGAATAATTTCCCTCACCCCTTCCCCTGAACTGACTTTTGTCCAACCTTTAGCACGTAGCTATCATATTCTCTGGGAAGCTTGTGACTTCTCCAGTCTGGACTGGATTTCTAAAGCACTTTGATCATAACTCTGAGGTAGTTATCTGTCAATACTGAATTTACAGGTAGCCTTCAAATTTTATGCATCCAAATTTTGAAGAAGCTGGTTTTTTTTAAACATTGTATATTGATACCCTTACAGTGCATTATCATTTTTACTTCCTGGTCCTCTTGTTAAATGTTTCCATAGCAACCATTTTATATATAGCACTTGCCACAGTTTCTAATTGTATATTTATTCATGTGATTGATTAATGTTTCTCTCCACTGCTAAGACTGTAAGCATGTACAGGATCATGCCGTTTTTGTTCCATTGCTTGGTATACAGTGCTTTGCCTATAGCCGGTGCTCCCTAAGTATTTATTTAATGAATGAATATTAAAGCATTTTTGCTAGTCTTCAACTATTTTGTTGCATATGAATATTTTTGCACGTTCTTTTTTAATTAAACAAGTAGGGAGAAATGTAAAAATCCAGAGATATTGAAATGCTGATATTAGTGTTACAAGTGTCTGTCTTATAAATTTAATATAATTGAGACAGATATAAATTAGTAGATGTGAAAACCTTTCCTCTTAATCAGGTGTTTGTTTTAAAACAGCCAATAGTGTATTCAGTTTGAAGAAAAAATCAAAACTAAAAAACATTCATGAAGCGTTACAAAAATATTATTTAAAATTTTGTCCAAATGGACAAGTGTTTAACAATTTCAGCTTTCTAGAAATGGAGTCACCCCTTTAACATGTTTTTTGGACATTGGAGTGCCATTTATATTTTCAGAAAGACATGATTATATGATACTAAACTTTAAACTGTCTCTTAAGGACAGGAACTTTGTTTTACTCTTCTTTATGCCCGTGTGACCTATTTTGACATATTTTGTTCTTAATATTTGTCCACAAGTGAACTATCACACAGAGAAAGGAATCTGAGTCAGATACGATTAAATGCATCTACATATTACAGAAAAACCCAAAATAACAATGATGTTGAAAAGATAGAGCTGTACTTCTTCTATGTGTAGAAGTACGGAAATAGTCCAGGATTGGTGTGGAGGCTCCAGAAGTTCCTAGGCTCTCTCCAGCTTTCTGCCCTAACATAACTAAGGTACAGCCCTCATCTTCATTTCCCTGAATGATTATTAAGATTACAGTAGTCATATCCCAGTTCCACGCTGTAGGATTGAGGAAAGGAAGACGGGTACACTTTTTCAAGACTTCCTGTCACAAAACATTTCCACTTTTACTCAGCATATGGGTAAGTCTTCCTCCAGGGGAAAGTGAGAAAGGTCTTGTTATAGCTGGATATCAATATGCCCATATATAAATGGGGATTCCATTCCTAAAAATGAAGGGAAAAGTAGTTTGTCAAACACAAGCCTGAAACAGCTCATCATGTTTAATTTAGCAACTATTTTTAGGCACGTTTGGTCATCATTGCATTATTTTATTTGGTATACATATAATTCCATTCCTCCCCTCTTCCTTTTCTTCCTTTCCTTCATTCCTCTCTCCTTCCCTCCCTCCCTCTCTGCCTTCCTCTTTCCTTCCCTCTCTCATTCCCTTTCTCCCTTTCTTCTTTTTTCTTTTTTGCTAATAAAATTGTTGATAGCTCATATAGTAAAATCAGTATTTCCTGACATTCCTCAGATTACCACTGTTTCAGGTGTTATGCCCCTGGAAAAAATTTAAGATACATTCAACTGGATAGCCCCTAGGATGTTCTCAGGTGTAAAAATCTAAGAATTTTATCATGTTTAAATGTTTCAAACACAGTATCAATAACTTCAAAGAGGATCAGTGCTTTCAATATTAACTGAGACATCTTACAGATGGTCATTGGATTCTTATTTAAGTTAGCACTAAATTATATCTACAGTGGTTAAGAAGATGTTTGTGATATTTTCATGAAGCTTTTTGTTTTTTTTTTTCTTTCTCTTTTTTAATAGAACATTCACATTAAGCCAGAACCACTCAGTTCTTAAGTCCTGAGGACAGTTAGCAGTTATATAATATCTGGGAACCTGATGTAACTGACTAAATGGTACTATTCAGTGCTCTGAAATAATAGAGGTTAAAACTGACATAACATACTGGATTTTTAAATAATTACTTGTGAATTGAGAAAAATTAAAATCTCGAAGAAAATACCAAGAAGTGTAGACAACTTTAAATAAAATACAAAATAGTATTTGGTTCATTTGTTAAAAATAGATTTTATACTTTACTTTTTTTTCTTCAGTCTTAGAGTTTGAAAGAGTCTATCTTGATAACCTCCCCAGTGCATCCATGTATGAGCGCAGTTACATGCACAGAGATGTTATCACCCATGTGGTATGCACGAAGTAAGTCTATCACATCTTTTTTACTCTTTTCTAAGAAGTTTATTAAAAAAAAAAAAAGCTTCAGTTTTGAGGTAGATTTATAGAGGTAATTTTAATATTTTATAGATTTCTGTAATTTCATACATTCTAAAATAAATAAAGGCCTACATGTTCTTTCCTATATATTACAAATAATACATTCTCTAAGAACCCCTTAGTTTATGTGTATGTCTTTGGAGATAAATGCCAAGAGGGGAATGAACAAGGTAGTGTATGAGCTTCTCTGAAGAAGAGGGTACATTAGTTAAGATACAAGTAATTGGTACCTGGTCTCTTTGGCACTAGAGGAGAAAATGTGGGCTAAGATACCCTAGGAATAGCAAAGGACCTTCAAAACAGATGAGTGGGATCTTGGAGAAGGGTAACAATAGTACAAGTTGAGCACCTCAAATCCAAAATGCTCCAAAATCCAGTACTTTTTGAGTGCTGACATAATGCTCAAAGGAAGTGCTCTTTGGTGCATTTGAGATTTTCTGAATAGGGATGTTCAACCAGTAAGTATAATGTAAATATTCAAAAATCTGAAAAACTCAAAATCCAAAACACTTCTGATCTGATGCATTTTGGTTAAGGGATACTCAAACTGTAGTAGTATTCTACTGTTTGTTGAGCTCATAGCATGTCCCAGGTACTGTGCTAAGGCTTCTTCTTTTTTTAACTGTCAAGCTGAGGCTTTTTCCTAAATTTTCTTATTTGTCATAAGAATAATTGGCTGGGCACGGTGGCTCATCCCTGTAATCCCAGCACTTTGGGAGGCTGAGGCGGGCGGATTACCTGAGCTCAGGAGTTTGAGAACAGCCTGGGCAACACGATGAAACCCAATCTCTACTAAAAAAATATAAAAAATTAGCCAGGCGTCCTGGCCTGTGCCTGTAGTCCCAGCTACTCGGGAGGCTGAGGCAAGAGAATTGCTTGAACATGGGAGGTGGAGGTTGCAGTGAGCCGAGATTGCGCTACTGCGCTCCAGCCTGGTCGACAGAGCGAGACTCTCAAAGAAAAAAAAAAGAATAATCTTGTGAGTTAGCACATGCTCTTCATTTTAGAGATGAGGAAACTGAAGTTTAGAGAGGTAAAATAGTATATTAGGCTGCTATTTAAAAGGCAAATCCTAAATCCTAGAAGATGTTCTATTCCTTGTATGGGTTTTGAATCTGTGAGCAGTAGAGTAACGTCAGATTTATTTTTATTAAAGGACCACCCTGGCTGTGGTAAGATGAATGGATTCAAACAGGGCAAGAATGTTATAGAAATCTGGATGAGCTATAGTATCTTGGATGATACTAGCAGTGAGTATGGGAAGTAGGTAGATTACTCTGTTTTAGATTAGTCTATTCTTGATATTTTGAAGACATACTCAATTTCATATATAAATCTAAATAAAATCTTTATATTTCATGTTAAATAGGATAATTCTGACCAAATATTGGCCTTTTCTAG